GCCAAATAAATATTTTTCGACTAGTGATATTTATAGTATTATTTTTTTTAAATCAGTTTATAACCCAATTTGAATAAAATTTTTACTATTTATAAGTAAATAGTTTATTTATTTAATATAAAATTTCATTTAAATTTCATTTTTTTGAAAATCCCATATTAATTAACTTTTTGTTTACCCTCTATATAATTATGACTTAAAGTTATTAAAATAAATTAAATCTCTAGTAAAAATTTTAATAATTTTCTTAGTAACAATAAATGTTTTTCTTAATATTTTTTCATAGACTATTTGTTGACCATATGAGTTACGCCACTCCCTGCGTACGTTATTCTTTGTAGCACCAAATATTATGTCAAATCCTTCCGAACACCACACTACCCACGCTAAAGCCTATCTACAACTGCACCATATGTCACACAAGATATTGTCACTTCTGATTAACCCTATTAGAACATCAAATCCAGACCCTTTACGATAGGTTCTCCTGAACCTGTCACATAAACGCCACAGGATATTTGTTGTCTTTTTTTGCGACCCATTACTTACGTATAGACTTATAAATGGGTAATTATTTTCGAAGGCGGACAGGAATTTTTCTGACTTTATAATTGTACTCCTAGAATTTATATTGTATATATATTATTAAAAAAATAGGAACCAAAAAATCGGTTATAACATTTTTGTTGTTTTCAAAAATAATTATTCAAATGGTTAGCTTTGAGAATAATTACCAACTCATTTATGAAACGTTCTTTTATCCACCCCTGCATCTGTATCACAAGTGCCACATCTGTGGGTGATCTCTCGCGAAGACTCATGTTATTGTATATTACTCGCACAAAGACATCTGACTAAAAAAGCCGTGTAGTCTCTATACGATAAGATTAAACGCGCATTTTATATTATTGTCTGTTAAATGAATACAAATTACTGGAATTAACAGATCCTCTTGCGTATTTGGGATTACTTTACTTAATTAAGCATTTAACACTTATCGACAAAACCAGATCATTTTAAAAGTTTCCATTATCATGTCCAAATTTTCCCAAAAGAAAATTTTTACTCTATACGACTTTCAAAAGCTTTGTGAAATCCTTTTTTCATAAGTTTTCTGTTACTGTAATATTATACAAAAGGGTTACTTCCTAGATGTCGGAAGCACAACGCAGAATAAATATCCGCTGCCCATTACAGTAAACGCGACGTGATGCTCGTTTAATTATTCGACGATTAGACGCTTAAATCAATTTGCCTATTCTTTAGTTAGCATTTCAATTATTATTATTAAATAATAGGAAAGAATATCTTATAAATAAGCACCTTTATGATTGATGTCCAACTGTTCACTTACAGAAACTAGTCGATCAGATTTGGGAGTGATTGGGATCTGTAAAGGCATATTAAACTAATCCGAACATTTAAGAACATGCTCGACGGGAAACACAACCTAATACATTATTGCAGGCTCAACATCTGCTTCAGTTGCAGCAATTTAATCCTTAGCCTACGTATAATCAAACATTTTCTCAAATAGATGATTTATTAAACGGATCACAAATTTATTTTATTAAAGTTAAAAAGAGACACAATACATAAATTACAAGTCCAGTTTTTTAAACAATAAGCGAATTCCATATTAATAGCAAGATACTGTATATACAGTAGTATAATTAATTTTATTTTTAGTATAGGCATGAATTCCGCATTTGCGTTATCCGGGAACGAACTTAGATATCATAATCCTCTATATGAAATAGGGATCACATTTTAGTTATTCAGAAAAATTTGTGACGCAAATTGCATTTATTTATAGCTATCGATCCAATATCTTTATAATTTAAGGATTACACCCTATTCACCGTAATGTGGCAAATTAAGCAGTTAATTAATTAATTTAGACCTTTGTCTCTAGATAAACCTTCTGTCTTATCTATTTTCTTGTGGTTTTATTATACAGTAAATCGAAATATTAATGGTTTATGTAAAGCCGTATATCCACTTATTAATTTTGGCAAATATATCCAATATACTGTATTCACTAGAATAATATACATAATTAATCTAGTAGTGATAATGCTCTGAAAATATTTTCCGTAATACCGCAACAATAAATACTGAAATCATTTTTTAGAATTTCATAATGTAGTAATACGTATTTCTCGAGAAAAGGTTATTAAGTACGTATCCGCCCGCTAATAAATTTAGTAATAAATTACCGATCCCGGGGAGACCCGAAGCACTATTTGCGAGAAATATGTATTTTTGTCTTAATGTTATTAACAAATTGTGTTATTTTGTTATATAGTGAAAAAAAAATTTTTCTTTTTTTTTCTTGCACCAAGAAAGCATTTTTTTCGAAATTTCTACATTTTAAACTTTGAATAATTTCTTCTCATCCATTATATTTCGAAGAAATACGGCCACTCTGCTTCGTTGCCGTCATCATCTATAATCCAACTCGCCATCCGAACATTTGCATTTTTAGGCCCACACAAATGCCACAGGCTAATGTCACTCGAATTAACCTTATTAATAACACTCGGGACCCGATTTTATGATTCGCTCATTTAACCATCCTTTCATCACATCCCCATTGATACATTATCCTTGCTTTTCACGCTATGTCATACATAATCGACTGATCTGATACCATAACTACTTCTCTCACAAATGCCACATGATGCACTCGACCCGGGATTTGATGCTACAACCTTTTATATACTTCAATCACATCGCCTTTGTGTTTACATCTCTAATAGAATACCAGGATGTCCGATTTGGCCTCTTTTTTTTTTTTTTTTGCCATTAATTCGGGCTTCTATGTTAAAATGGGCATACGGAATACAGTATCAAGTGACAAGGATCAACACGGGCCGCGCGGTCTATAATTAGTACAATGCAAATTTTATTCGGCTTGTTCTAGACCTTACAGGATGCTTCCGATCCAGGACCAAATGCCATGTCATTTATGATACTTCCATTTATGTATACCGCCACACCGCCACACGAGATTTTTTATGTATCGGCACTTTTTGTGGTGGTTTCTCGGGGTAACCATATGGTTCGGCCTCCAGTGTTTCACTCAATGTATCGTTATACGCTAAAATCAAACGTGTATTTGTTTATAAACATACCTTTAATATCGGAAACTTATAAAATGGCATGGACTTTCTAAGCCAATATTCTACAAAAAATTTTTTCTCCATATTGCTTCCGAAAGCTTTATTAAATTCTTTTCCCATAAATTTTGTTTGCTAGGATTATCCAAAAAGACTTCTTTTTAGATGTCGGACTCACAACACAGAATAAACTACCATTACTCATTACAGCAAACGCGACGTGACGCTCGTTTAATTGTTCGACAATTAGACGCTTACACTAATTTGCCTATTCCTTGGTTAGCATCTCAATTATCCGGAATTACCAATCAAATAATAGGAAAGGATATTTTAAAAATAAGCGTCTTTATAATTGTAAATAATCGTGGATTTGCATATCCAACTGCTTCCTTACAGCAGTTAGTCGATCAAATTTGGGAATGGTTGTTAAATGTAAACCAACAAAGAATTTATGAACATGTTGCGAGATCCGTGAATGCTTATAGACTCATTCACACCAACCCGATCATTCAAGATCCACCACGTATTGAGTATGTGCGACAGGAAACGCAGCCCGCAACATTATTTCAGGCTGAAAATATTCTTCGATTACAACAATTTAATGCTCAGTCCACGTATAATCGAGCAGGTTCTCAAATGGATGATTTATTAAATGGATCACCAAATTTATTTAATTACTAAGTCAAATATAATACGTTAAAGATTATTTATACAAGTTTTTTAAGCAATAACTGTATTTACAGTTTATAATTAATAAGGATAAGAAGTAGACTTCATTTTAATTTAGAATAAACATGGATTACGCAGTTAGTTTATCAGCTCATAAGTTAAGCCGAAATTTTTTACAATTCTACAATAAGGTATATGAAAAGGGAGATGTATTTTAATTATTCATAATATTTTTATGGCTTACAATTCAGTTATTGTTCTAGTTTCTTTAGGTTAAATATTATCATATTCCCAATAATAATGATGTAATGTGGTAAATATGCTTTTAATATTAAAATTTTAATTCACTAGATTTTTATCACATCAACAGGAACCGAGAATTTATCAGAGAGTAATTATCTTCAAACATGAGAAAAGAAATAAGATGAATTTTTTGGATTAAAGTAATTACTGGCTCCAGAAATATATTGACTGATCATTTATATCTGGTTGATTAAGAATAAAAATACCATTAGTGTTATACAAACCTATATGACTGGTTGTTAATTTTGAATAAAATTTGTGACATCCACAGTTTTCGCTCAAATAAAATGCAATGAATTATGCACAATCTAGTGATAACAATACTCTAATTTCCATGTGCGGTTTATTATTTTTAAAGAAAAACATGTAAATGGATCATTTCTTCGAGCACACTCTAATTCGTATGGCAACAATAAATAATAACTTTACCGTCTGAATTTTACACCTTGCGATTCTCAAACCTCTGAAATATAATTCTGAAATGAATGGCCTCATTTAGTTGGACTTAATATCAGTCGGAGAGTATTATTAAATGTTAGATTACGCGAAGATTTTAAAACCTATTAATTCTCATTCTAGCTAAATCAAGAGTTTAAAGGTGTTGGCAAATGTCATATCGTATCATAAAAAAAATAGTAACTTGCATATAATTTTGTGTAAATTAATGTTTTCCTTTATAAACTTATAAGGAATTCCTTTCAATGCTAAAATCTGGTAAATGTCGGATGTGCAAGCACTTGACGAAAATCAGCAAATACCATATGATCATTTCTATCTTTCTCAGACAGAGGAGCATTATTTGGCCTGTCAATTATTGCAGCATTAAATCCCGCTAATTTCGCTGCGATTATCTCTGACGTGGTGATAGAAGAAGAATTAAAAATTATCTATGACTGTAAAAGGTTAGTTTAATAATATACCAAAAGGAAAACAGCAAATACCCTTAACATTATCACTAAGAAACAAGATCTCGTTTGGTTCAAGTTTGATTTGTTCCGCTATATTTATATAACTCTGTTCTTCAAGTTTTGAGCCTATCGTGGTGTCAAAGAAATCTGAGAAAAACTAATTTTAAATGGTGCTATTTAAGTAACAAAAATTTTCCTTTAAAGTATTACTGTAGTTGCTGTAGAAAAGTCACCTCTAATAAATTTCCCTTATCCGAATGACCAAAGACTAGTTTTTGTGCCGCAACACTTCCAGACGAGTAGATGCATACTACTATGTTCGAATCATTCCATCTTTTTAATGCTTCAACTACATCTTGATACACTCTGCAACCGCATAGAATGCATAATTATTAAATAACCAATATGTCAAAACCATTTGGTCCGTAAATTACCTACATTCCTTTTAATACACCAGAATCAAATCCACCTTTCCACATATACCCCTGAAACGATTTCAAGGCGGTAATCTTTCTATCTGATCTCATCTGCCAGGCAATATTTTGAATTACGGATTTCTTGACCTCCTCTTTGTTACTTTTTTAAGAGAGCAAGAGTAACATTTTTTTTTTTAAAAAAAAACGACTAAGCAAGTAAGATATTAAAAGCATTACTGTTTACTTGTTAATCTCTTCAGGAATTAATATTGCGTCCGGGAATGTTCCAGAGTTCACATCTGCAAGCGCCTGAGAAGAATTTAAATTTAAAGGTAACCACAGCAATCAATTTTTTGGATTCGCATTCACCTGCTCTCTTAGAAACTGAATTTTCTCTTGCAATTCACTGTCCTGCCAATGTTCATTCAAGAAATTTTCAAGATTGTTTGTTACGTACGGAAACTAATTTTTTCATCAATATAAGGAAATTAAACAAAGAATCCATATGTGAATTCCCTAAAAATTGCTGTAGTGAACAAACCAATTCATCGTGAACGAACGAGATTGGAGTAGTGGTTCCCTCGATGTCTAACAATACACATTTATAAGTGAAGTTTGTTATGGTTTGCGACATTTTATAAAAAAAAAATTCTATCAGAAATCGGGTAAATCGGATTTGATAAACTCGCCCACCAGGGTTTAGATCTACGAATTTTGCCGTGATTTACAATATGTACTAAAAATACCCCCTAATAGGGATGTTAATTGATCCTTTGGATGATCTTTATAATGGTCCAATTCTGACGTTAGGTCCTAACAGTCCAGAATTATTGCAGAAAAATTTGGCTAACGTGATTTGCTTATAATAAGTTGGCCAGAATTATAAAAATTACCTTACTTGGATTGCAGTCATGTGACCAAACAGGGCCGAAATTAATTCGCAAAATATGAAAATATTAATAGCACCTTGGTTAGGCCTAGGATTAAAGGTTCAAATACAATGGTAAATTTTGTGAGAAATATTTTCATTAGAACACAATCGTAGTTTTATATGAAAACTTCGTTGTTTTTTCAAAAAAATAAATGTTTCGTCCTTTAAAAATTATATGATCTGTCCAGACGTGGTCGGAAATCACATGACCTGATACCTTGTGGCTGGAGTACTTACAGTATACTGTATAACAAATACAAAGACGAAATAATACGCAATATAATTTGAGTATAATTAGAATAAATTTATTTTCATTCGTTTATATAATTTTTTGAATAGGAATCTGTAATTATTTTTGAAGTTATCTTAAAAATTTTTTTAGATTCAAATTATAATTTTTTTTTTAATATTGACTTAACCTTGTTTTATTTGAAATTATATATCAATACATAAAGGATATACTGCCTATTTACTACCAAATAAAACTCGATAAAGTCTTTCTTCAAAAGAAGGTACTTACCATATGACTTGTTGTTATCCTTTTATAGAAAGTCAATTTATTAAGATCAAGTTAATATTGAAAGAAATTTCAAATATATAGAAATTATTTATTATATTTGTAATTCAGTAGTTTATAAAGTCATTAATCAAGTATATAAATTGTTATTTTATATATTTTTTCTAAATATTAATCAAAAAATATTTATTTGGCATAATATTCATTAAAAAAATAAATAATTTGACATATTAATGATATATAGTAAATAAATTATCAGTCAATTTTTACTATATAATATGACATAAATAAATTATTAACCAATTTCTACTATATAATTTAACATTATTTACCATATAATTCATATTATTCTTACTATATATTTTATTAAAATTTTAATTAAAAAATTATTAGATATTCATCAAAATTTCAATTTTGTCAAAAAAAAATTTTTTTTTAAGTATAAGCAACCTTACTTTATTAATTTTAGTGCAGTACATATTATATGAATTAATGCTAAAATAACTATTAACTCTTTTTTTTTATGTATTTTCTTATACTAACTTATTAAAAAGCTAATTGATTTTAACAATTTCTTATAACTTGTTGCTTCCAGTTGAAAAAAACATACCTAGGTTCTGTTAGCACTGATTTAAAAAATATGAAAGATATTATATATTCTTTTCAAAATATTACTTATTGTGTTCTATATATTGGCTTACTGTAACCTATTTGTTGTTATTCTTTCTTTTTTATATATTTTCTGTTGTTTTTTTTTTTCCTTTTTTTTTTAATAAATATTTTATTTATTTTCTGTTCTTTTTCTCATTGTAATATCCTTTTATATCTATCGAGCCAGATGTTGAAGGTTACAAATCTAGTATATTGCATAATACTTTTTCGAGTGTTAGCTAGCTCATTGTGTCCCACTATTTCTATAATTAGGTTGTTTAAAATCTTGTTGATTCCTACTCTAAAAATAAGCATATTTAAGTTTCTAGTACTAAGCTCTACTTTATTGTTTATTATTTAAGGTGATTTTTTATTTTTCCTATAGTACATTTCTCTGTATATATTTTTGTTTATGTCCTCATAAAGGTTGATATTGTTATGGGGACAGATGAATAGGTGATCATTGTATTCTGTCTCATTGCAGGTATGATATCTAGTTGTTTTGTATATATTGGAATATTTTTTATGGAGTTTGTTCATGGTTGAGAGCTCTTGGTTCCATAATTTAATAAAAAAGATGCACTGTTGAGAGTTCCACTTGTCTGTTTATAGGTTGATGAGTTTTGTTGGATGGAAGAGTGTAAAGCTAGTTTTTTAGTCTATTTCTTTATTATTGAATCAAATATTGAAAGTGTTTTTATTAAGTTGTTTCCAATCAATTGTAAAGTGCACTTGATAGATCTGTTTGATAGCTCCTCAAATATTTTGGGTAATCCCTGTATTGCTATTGTAGTATAGTTATAGATAGTTGGGTTTTAGATATGTATAAAGAGTTGTATTGCCATTTCTTTTGTCTTTATTTGATGCTGCTTGATATGCCAGTTCATCAGCTCTTTTGTGAAGTGGGTTGTTGTTTTTCTTAGATATTTTGTGCCAGGTTATCTTTTTTTGGAAGATGTTTATTATATTGCGAAGGTTGAATATCATTTTTTTTCTTGATATTTAACTAGTTTTTGGTTAGTTGTGAGCTTGTAATAATCCAGAATGAGGTTTTGTGAGTCCATATGTATGTCTATTGTTTAGTCTTTCCCAGCTGTAATATAGGTGATAGTAATTGTTAAGATTTCTAATCTATATATTGATACTTAACCCATAAAGGTTATATTAAGCTTCAAAAGTATATTGTCTTGTATAATATAAATTATTCCTATTCCAATTCTTTGTTCTTTATTTGTCTTGATACTTCTATCAGTGTATACTAAGATTTGTTGCTCTGTTTTCAGTTTTCTTTTAATTGTTAATGTTTTTATATATAAGTTATCCTAGGCTCTTATGATCTGTTTGAGTGTTTTTGTATTTATTGTTTCATGAGTGATTCTTACTGAATCTAGTGGGAAATTGGATTGTTATTACCACTTGGTTCAGCTCTGTGAAGATATTTGTAATCTGGGCTTGGGATTGTTCTTCTTTTTTTGGTTGAATTTAATGGTTTTAATAATAAGTGTTATAAATAGTGAGGACATTGATATTTCGATACAATAGTTGTGATTATATTGATCTATGTGGATAGTGAATTAGCGTTCTTTATATGCTTTAACTGGTGATTTGTCTGTAGTGTTGAAGTGCCTTATTTTGATGTTTTCTTTGTTATAACTAACTCTTTGACCAGTTATAATTTGCTCTATTTTTTCAAAAGAGAATTATTTTTTCTGTTTTGGTTTCTGAGTCCTCGATATATGAGAGTAAGTGAGTTGAGTCCTGCTTTTACAACACCTTGCATTCTACCCTTTCTCAAATATATTTGTATTATCCAGGTTCTTTTCTCTTGTTTGATTTTTTGTTGAGACAGTCAACCTGGTACCATTGTATTATTTTTGTTTGAAAGATATCTAGGATTTGTTCTTGCCAGTATATCTTGTGTTTTTTTAGATTCTGTTAGTATTGGTTTATCCAGGTTTTGTTTAGAAAAAATTCTAGATATCTGCTTGGATGTAATAGTGGGTTTATCTAGGTGTTCCTAAATTGTATATTTTCTTTTTGTATCATTCTTAGTCTATCTTGGAGAAAGTTGATACACTTTTTGTGGACCTTTGGATATCTTTTAGTGATGCTGGTCTTTTGTTATGCATTGTATTGGAGTTTTTGAATCTTGAGTCTGATAATCAGGCCAGCTATGTTTTTTGCTTCATACAGGACTTAAAAGTTACTAATAAATTTTTGTTGTTATCTTGTGTTTAGTTCCATTATGTTGTATAGGGTAGCTAAGTGTAATATTATGTTAGAATATATTGTTGCTAATTTAATTCTTCTTCTAAAGTTGATTCTTATCTTTGTATCTATTTTAATTATTTCTTCCTTTAACAGAATAGTATCCTATAGTAGATATTCAATTTGAGGAAATAATATATAGTTTGTTATATACCTGTGCATCTTGTCCATTAATTGTTTGCTTGCTAGGTTTTAGTATATATTGATGACTTTTTTCTTGATTAGCTGCCACTGATAGCATTTTCTTTTTTTTTCTTCATGTCAGATACCCAGAACTCTAATAGCATTGTTATTGAGTATAGATTGCATAAGATAGTTTTGAAAGATAATAGGTTCTTTTTGGTCATTGATTATGAGAAGCTCTGACTTTGATAGATTCATTGTGATATTGTTAAGGTGATAGAAAGATCTGCTGACTGTAGTTATGAGCTCTATATCATTTTTGCTTTGTGTAATAAATATAGTGTCGTCCATATATACTGTTATAGAGATGTTTTCCTTTCCTGCTTTTGACTTTGAGTCTATAGAGTCTTTGAGGAAATATATTAAGTATCCTTGCATTTTACTGATTCTGCTAATCAAGAGATTGTAATATATTCTTTAGAGGATAGGTGAAATTGTATCTCCTTGATCTATGTCTTCATATACCTTGTATTCTTCTGTATTTCCAAAGTGTATAATGACTATATTTGTTTTATTTATAAAGTATGCTTCTATAATGTTTCATATTTGTTTAAGAATCTTTATATGTTCCATTGCAGATGTGAACCTTGAAATATTGACTATATTATAGACTTTACTCATATCCTGAAAAAGCATATGACATGATTTTTTTGATTCTTGGGTATCTTTCAGAATGCTATTGATAATTGTAATTAATTCTCTGGTACTGTGACTAGACAGGGCTGCTCAGTTATATTCTGAAAGCATAAAATAAAGTATACATACTTTTGTTATTCTGCTTGTTATTATTTTAGTGAAGATTTTCTTGATGGACTCTAGGAGTGTTATTAAACATGTAATGGTAATATCATGTTGCCGGTCCTTAGGTTCAATATTAGATATATGGTTCTTTTTTTTTATTTCTTGGATATGTTCTGTATATTTAGTATCTTATTAAAGAACTCTATGAAACTTCAGATCATGGCTGATCCTAGTTTCTTGAAAACAATATAGGAGATATTGAATAATTCTGGTGCTAATTTATTACTAGAGCTAAATATAATTTACTTAACTTTTTCTGTTGTAAAGTTTTATGTTGTATCAGAGAACTATTCTTCTTTAATAGTAGGAATGGATTCATATTTCTATTTTCAGATAGTATCTCTGTAATTGATAATGTTTTGACTTTTGATCCATTGTTCGAAGTGATTTTTAATAATTTGTTTGATCTTCTCAGGTTCAAATATTATGCTTTTTTCTTTATTGTCTTCCTGTTTTATAAGTTTGCTGATAATAATACTACATTTTGGATTATTTAAGATAGCTCTGATCATTCA